ACCAAATACTTGCATGCATTGATCGCAAAGCACACGGGGGGGGGGGGGGGGTGGAGCGGAGGGGAACAATGGTTAGCAAGCACCACAGTGTCGCTACACTTTGTACATGTTAACCGGGCTGTGAACCCAGTTATCCGAGGAGTTCCAGCAACTGCTAACATCAGGTGGTTGAAGCTTTGCCGGAATTACTACTGATTGGGCTCCCCCCCCCACCTTCAACATTCTGCACTTACCAGCATGGTGAAGTATGGTCACTAAACGCCCATGACCTGAGTGCATTTGGGAGGCCATTATCTAAGGGCCATGCATTTTAAGTGCTTGTACATGAATCTCCTAAAAGTATGGACGCTCACAATGGCTTGCCTTAGACCTAGATTTTCAGATGTAAAATTTTATTTTCCTCCTAAAACTATTTTGACCCAGGACGAGATGCTGTAATTGTCTTCACAAATAAAAGGCGCAGTTCTCTGGTTGTGCAAACTCTCTACCAGCGGCTAATTGACGTCCCCGTTGCACTCTAAATAAAAAAAGTTAGTGCAAAATCAATACTGTAAATACAGTACTGTCGAGTGTTTTTGTTCTCGCCACCAGTGGCTCGAGTTGACGTGACCCTAGCCAAAAACAGACATTGTATTCTTTGCCTTGCACTATTCTGTCCGAAATACAATTTTACGATTTTAGACCTTGTGTGGTTAATAAAGCTCGAGTTGGACTTGTGGGGGGTTTTATAGTTCAGTTTTAAGTGTGCTTGTGCAAGCTGCGTCACTTTTTTAATGTAAGAAAGGATGGCACGTAGTCGAGACCAATATGGCATCGTCGGCTAAAGGGGAGAACCTGCCCAAGGAGGCGGGGGGGGGGACTTTCACAAACGGGATGGGAGAGTTGAAATTGGTTTCGTGTGCAGGTGCTTGGTGGATGTCTCGTGGCTTGAGGAGGCCTTCATTGGTCATGGCTGCTGATGGAGATTACAGTTTGGGGCCTGCTTGATGCCTGGCGATGGAGTTATGGCTTTGGGGTGTATTATCTTGGTTGTGAGTACTCCTATAGTGTAAATCGTGGTGGGTTTTTTTGTTGCTACATTTACTAGTGGAATGTAGCGGCACAGCAGTTGCCCCTCGGTGGGTTGGGAGGGGGGTTTTGGCCACGGTACTCTCAACCTCAATCCTTTGCCATGACAACCTTTTTTTAATAGGTGCTATCTAACAGCATTTGTCCCAAGTGTTTTTTAAAGGTTCGTAATTTGTCTTGTGTGGTGGTGGTGGAGCATATCCGTGGTGGGCGGACCGTCTCTGTGCGTCGGTGGGTGTCCGGCCATCGTCGACACGGGCACGTCCGTCATCGCGGGGCCCTCTGGCCCCCTGCGGATCCTGCAGGTGGCCCTAGGGGCCACAGCCTTGCCCTGGGGACAGGTGAGTGACCTTGAAACAGACAAAACTCTTTTTACCAGGTAAGGCCCACTTTTATATAGCGCTCTTTCAGAAGCGACCTCGCCGCAAATGATAGCTCAACAAATTGACTCGTCGTGTGTGAATTTATAGCAGGCACATACTCTAAACGCATCTTGATTCTAAATGTGGAGGGGGGGAGACCGAAGGATGGGGCGGAAAAATCAACAACCTCCTGCATACCGCGAGAGGGAGTTAACATCTCGCCACCGCCACCATATTTTTTGAGGCTCAACAGTGACACGAGCGTAAGCTGGAAGCAACCCCCTCGTATCGGCCACATTCACTCTTGCCCCATAAACAGCATCTTTCCGCTGGCATTATGCAGTTTTCCTAAAGCGCACAGCCGATGTGCTACTATAGCTTGTGTGGTTTTTTACAAGAGCTGTTTTTTGGATGTTGCACCGAGTCATCTCCACTCGTGGCTTCATCTTGGCCACCACAAACCTTGGTGGCCTCTCAACAAAGGTGTTCTCAAAAATGTAATTGAGCTTTTCAGTCTTTGCGAAGAGCACGATGTGTGTTTGTGATCTTCAGTATACTATTGACTGCCGGGCGATTCCCACGCTCCCCGACATCGTGCTGACACTGGGAGGGAAGCCGTTCCACCTCTCTGGGAAGCAATACGTGATCGTGGTAGGTGGCTCGCTCGACGAATGATCTATGACGCTATGACGATGAAACGTTCTTTAGTCTTCAAATCCAATAAAAAAATTGTATCCATAGTCATGGGATTTTAAATGTATTCCAGCCAGTCTCGGCCCACTCATGGAGTTAGGCCTCTGCAATACTATTCTTAGCTGTGCTGGTCTGGTGAGTTGGTGAAGTTGGAAGAAAAGGGGCCTGTTCTGATCACTATCCACCGATGTTTGCTGTGGCTGAAATCCTAATGTTTATAGTGCTTGTTAATGAAAACGAAGATCGCACGGGTTCGAACTTGCGCTGGGTCACAACTGTTTGTCACCACTGCAACTCTGAAGCCAATGACTCCCTCTTTCCCTGCCCCCCTCCTCCCCGTTCTTGCCCGACAGGACGAGACGGTGCAGGGCACCCTCTGCCTGCTAGGATTCATGGTGATGGACGTGCCCAGCTCCGAAGGACTGCTCTGGATCCTAGGCGACGTGTTCATTGGAAAGTTCTACACCGAGTTCGACCGTGATCACGACCGCGTGGGGTTTGCCCATGCGGTGTGAAGGAGAGGTCCGTGCTCTCTCTCCCCTTGGTACATGGCTGGTCGCAGCTCCTGACAATGTTTGTAGAAAATGAGTGGCCGATTTTGTTCAGTATCGGTGTTGTGGAGGTGGCGAGATGGCATGCATCCTGCCCTGAGCTGACCGCTCCGTTCCGGCTTCTGCGATGTTGAATTATTTTTTTAGGGCGGTGTTGGCAGTGGCACAGACACACAATGAACAAAACTCCAAAAAACGCAATTGTTAACATTGCTTGAGATTTGTTTTTCCCATTTGTCTTATGGTTGAAGCTAAGCTGATGGGTTGGTAGCAATGGTGGAGTCTGAGGAAGGTGTTTTGGCGGCGGTTGCCATTCTGCTTCGTGATTTTTTTTTTTTGAGACTGCAATGAGGGTGAAGGTGGGGGGTGGTAGAGTAGACGCTGGATACGCACACCCCTTGGTAGCAGGTGTGCTTGTATTATAAGGGCTCCATGTCCCCCTTGTTGAGAATGATGGTTGTGAATTGAGGCGATTGGCCTGCTGCCTTCCATCTTGCCTATAACCAATATGTCCTCGGCATTCAAATTCTCAACACACACGTGTAAATGTGTATTTATGTATGTTATTTAAAGTAATGTGATTTTGTTTAATCTGCGAGCACATCGTGTAAATTATGCACAGTAAGGTTAATGTCGTGGTTATGTTTTCGATTGTATTTTGACTGACAATAAAACTTTACTCAATGAAATGATGACTTAAAGCTTTCGTGACTGCAGGAATTCATATTCTTTGGCTTTTTCGGTAAAGTCGCGTAGATAGTGTTCTATCTACATGACTTTACCGAAAGACCCAAAGAAAACGAAATTAAATGGTTGCAGCTTTCGGTTCTTTTGCACGAGATACCAATGAAGAAGACCGGATTACAATGGAAATAAGGCCCTGGAAAGAGGGTTGGTGCCGCACTAGAATGGTTGACAAAACGAATGACTGACGTGCCATCCCCGAGGCCTTCAGCAATGGGAGGGCTGAGACATTTAAAATACTGGACTGAGAAAGTATGACAAACGGTCACCATTTTAACATATTTGTGATTGCAACGGCCCTATTGACAACTTCAATTTACCGAGTCGGCCACCCCATCAAACATGTTTGACAAGGTAAACCCATCCTAACGGGGGGGGGGGGGGGGTGGGGAGGAGAAAACGGTACAGGCTGGAAACCCGTTCTGTTTTGCATCATGCAAAGACTATGAACAGTTCCTGAACTATTGTGATTGTCTTAGGTCACCATGAAATAGTTTTTTTACCTCCATTTTTGATGGGGTAACTTTAACCCAATGGGGCTTGTTTTCAGGAAGAAAAAAAACATCCCCAGACGAAACGTACACGATTATAATAAAGCTTGAGAATACTATGCGTAGTGCTTGAGATTTTGGTGATCTCTCCCGAGCATATCATGGAAGTGAATTGCAAGTAGAAGTATCCCCTCCCCACCAGACTCAACCATGGATAACGATCCACTGCTTGATGAATCCTTCAAACCACTGCCAACTCTCATGATCCTGAGACGTTAGTAATCCACCTCGCACAAGGAACGGATTCCATCGCTCCATCTCCACTGCGGGAATTGTCTCAAACGTGTTACATTCCTAGGCGACCAGTCCTTTATAATCCTTGGTCATAATTCCTTGCGGAGATATGGGCGGATCTGGCAAAGGCCCACTTTACTTAATTTGAATGATGCCATTAACCTTGTGTTCTCTCACCATTGTTTCGTCTGTCGATGCAATTCGTAACCCCTCGAGTTGTGTACATCTTAACGGAAACTCTATCTCCGGTGCTTTTATATATATAAAAAATCCTAACCCGCGTGAATTTGCGATAATTTCTTATCTGCAACATATCCACAGATATTGGGATCCACAGATAATGTGGGTCACGGATAATCCTGTCAAATGCAATCGATCATTAACCTACTCTATGAATCCGTGGAGTGGTGCACTGAGCACAACTTAAGCAATGAGACGTTATTGATTCATACGGTATTTCATTCATCGGTTACGTGTGCTGCACCGATCCAGACGTTAATCGATAAATCGACGTACAACAGTATATTAAAATTCTGCAATCAATTGAGAAATGCTTGCGATTAATCGACTGCTATGCTACAATGGCGCAGCGTTAGGAATGAAACGTAACCGTTCAATACAATCCATTGTATTCTTGGTGCTTTAGGTAAAGTCACGTAGAAAGGAAATAATAATGAAATAATAAAAAATAAAACCAAATTCTCACGATGTTTCGATTGTAACACAAGCAATCATCATCAGGTGTGAAAAACCGCAGCAAAACTTTCTTGCTGTGTTTTTATTTTATTATTTCCCTTCTACGTGACTTTACCGAAAGAACCAAGAATATGAATCCCTGCATTCACGAAAGCTTTAAATCTAAATACAATGCATCAGTGGATCCAGTGCTGCAGCGCGCCGGCTTGATCAATCCAATGTAATCGATTATCACGTTATTTATTCGATTTAATCGGCTAGAAGTGCCGCGCGGAGCCGACTTTGAGAGATGGACTTTTTTATTTTTTTAACTCAAATAATCATCAATTAATAATTTTATTCCGTTAATCGATATCAATGACGGAGGTTATCGCGTCCGACGTATCCATCCTCGGCGGCGCGTGACGTCGTCGTCGTCCTCGCCGAGGCGGATGACTTCACGCCACTCGGCGCGCGCGACGTCACTGCCGAAACGAATGACGTCACGCCACTCGGCAGAGACACAAGGCTGTAGGCGGTTTCCAGGCGACGGCGGTCAAAATTTGCCTTAAAAAAAATAACAACCCCCCCCCCCCCTAAAAAAAAAAGTTTTCCCGCGGTGCCACTTAAACCTCGCGCGGACGACTCCGCTGCTTAGGCGATCTCCACGTGAACGCGGGCATCGTCCGAGGTTTACCGCCGATGAGTTTCGCGCGAGAGCCGCAGCCGCCGGTTTGAGTAGCCGGGCTCTGGGTGCTAATGAGGGGGCTAGGCTAGGGCCTGGTCCGTTAAGTTTGTGAGCGAAGGCCTAAGTTGTAATGAATGGTTTTGAGTTTGTGTTGCCATTACAGTCGTTAAAGTGCTTCGTTTGCTATTGCTTTTGCGGCTTTGTTTTAACGTGCGTCGTGTCAATGTTCAGCCGCGTGCCGCTTTGATGTTGTCGTGGGGTGTTTAAAGTGTACGGCGCAACGATGCATGCAATCGGAGAGTGTGACACTGTCCTGTACTTCTATGCGCTTACTAAACTGCTGTGCTCTCAGCGACTTTACCAACCCGCACTGACAAAGGCAATGACTCCTAATGCTACACATGCGCATGTGTTAGTTGTAAACGGATTACTTAAATTGTGTACCGGACCCGTCATGGCAATGTGGAATTGACACCACTGGGTTCGGGCGGCTGACGGGGATGAGTTTCTATCGGCGCTTGTTTGAACTGGGAGACGTCATACGAGCGTGTAGTTTGCCGTATGTGGTGTGTTATCCTCGGCATTATAACGTGGAATGACCTGTGGACATAAGCACCGGATTGCGATCACCTGTTGACACCACGGCACCATTTACACCAAACACTACTCGCCAAACAAAGCGTTCAACAGTCATCAAAGACACCTTAACATTCACACTTAAACACTCACCTGACGACACTTGGCCTAACATTTAGCAGTCATCAGTCACATAACCACCGCTAGCCAGACACCACTTCGACACCTGAAACTCAAACTCGACAGACGCCGACACTCATCTGGCACTTGATACCGGTCACTCACGTAATTCGTTTATGTAACCCCCTGTAACCACTAGAGGCACGACAATGCCCTCCAAATCACGACATTAAATTGTGAGAACATTGCATTGGGTAGCAATCACAGTAGGCTTAATCGTGCACTTAAGTGCTGCCTATTTTCGTCTCGTGTTCTTACCACTACGGGTGCTATATATATATCGTATATGTACATTGCTTTAGTACATACCAATCAATTATGTGTGCCATTTAGCGCCCATTAACTCGACGAATAACGCCATGCTTTTAGAAACATACGCTGTCCAGTAAACCATGTATGGTTGCATAGATATTTAAGCTGTGAAGACTGGTTGGAATAGGAACAATTGGAAAGCAGCATTGTTTTGATACACTGTAGTATGAATAATTTGAGCATTTTCTAGGGTATGTAAAGGCATGCCGTATGGTTAGGGGCACACCGCATTTGAAGGAAATTGCAGCCATAACCACAAATAGCGTATATCTTGTAGATACACGACTTACCTTTTGTCCCAGGCCGTCTGTAATCCGTTTTAAGCTTGATGAGAAAGTTATGGTCAAGTGAATCGGCACATTTGTCACTTCACTCACGCGTTTCCATTCTCAATGAAATCAGTTTCACTAGAGTTGCTATGATGGTTTATCTGACGGAAAGTTTAAAGTAAAGTGCATTTTCTAAAAAGAGAAGTTTAAAACATGTCATGCAGCTCAAGACATACAGCTTAGTTGCATAGCTACAATTAGATTTTTTGTTGTTGCATCCTCCTTTAAGTGTGTATTTTCAACCTAGTTCTTCCTGGAAATGTTCCCACTGAGGGTCTCCCTGGTCCTCTGTCCACTCGTATCTGTCCTGGGCCATCCCCATCCACTCCACTGTCTTTCAGATCCTGGTTCACCACTTCGAACCACTGTTTTTCTAGGCCTGCCTTTCGGTCTTTGCCATGTGTTTTTCCCATATTCCATTGTCAACCTAGTTCTGAGGTCATGCAAATCAATGAGAGATAAACTGTGCACATCGACTTGTTAACAGGAGTCGCCTGCTTCCAATTATCCCAACTGCTTTTTGTGTTTCGTTTGTTGTTTCTTCCCCGCAGCTCCGAATAGCACTGTTGGCTACGTACGGTGCGAAAGAAGTTCAGCAACAACTTGCCCCAACAGGATTCATAATGGTGGCCGGGGGCTACTGGGAGGCGGGCGGGCTGGCTGTGCTGGTGGCCGCCTGCTATTACAACAGCCTGCAGTGCGGCTTTGTGTTCGACGACATCTCGGCAATCCGCGACAACAAAGATCTCCGGCCGTCTACTCCGCTCGTCAACCTCCTGCGCAATGACTTCTGGGGCACGCCCATGGCGGAGGTCAGCTTTGATCCCACAGTAGCTTAACAAGGGGCAGTATTTTGATTTAAAGCTTTCGTGACTGCAGGGATTCATATTCTTGGTTCTTTCGGTAAAGTCACGTAGAAGGGAAACAATAAAATAATAACAAAAATATTTTTTATTATAGCACTGTTGGCTACGTGACTTTACCGAAAGAACCAAGAATAAGGGGCTGTATGTTTTTGTTGTTATTATTGTATGTACACGCATTCTCTATCCATCTATCTAGGACGGGTCGGCAACCTGCGACTCCGGAGCCGCATTCGGCTCTTCAAGGATTTCTTCGTGACGTTATTTATCAACAACGGTCTCCGTATTCACATGCATTGCGTCTGTTGATATATTGTTTTTTTGTACCGAATTTGAAAACAAATGTCTTCTGTCATTTTGGTTGTCTATCTAGGAGAAGAGCCACAAGTCTTACCGGCCGCTCACCGTGTTCACCTTCCGCCTGAACTACCTGGTGAGCGGCCTGGATCCCGCAAGCTACCACGCAGTGAACGGCGTGCTGCACTGGCTCGTGTGCGTGCTGTACCTGCGCGCATGCCGCCTGCTGCTGAGTCCCGGTGCCAGCCGTGTCGCCGCAGCCCTGTTCGCCTTGCACCCGGTGCACACCGAGGCCGTGAGTGTTGTCCGTCTTGAGTGTTAATGCTGTGTGACCAAATCAACTGGCAATTTGCCTGTAGGGTTGAGCCAAGTATTGCGTTTGGGTGGGCGATCGCCGCGCACGATGGGTTTGTTGTGCTGCTGCGGGGTTAAGCGGTGGGTGATAGAGGTCGGTACCAGCAGAGTCCATTGTCGTACTGTACTTTTGTTCTCCCGTGGCTATGCGTTTCCTGCCTTCAGTCCACACTGACCAGTGTGAAGTGTGGTCAAATAATCCCCAAACACCCATGGCGTTGGAAGGCCCCCATCCACCATTAGATTGACATGTACATTGCTGACCAGTCTGCAAGTTAATTGTCTTCGAGACACTGGTGGAAACCATGTCAGTCTATTCGCTCAAGGCCCATCAGCAGAGACTGTTTGGTCAGTCTGTTATCTAAAGTCCCTCTTTTGGAGAGGTTTTCTAATTTGCTTCAGATATATTTAGTATTTTCACCCAATTCAATTTTTTACAGTCATGTTGACATTTCGACACAGACCAAACTATATTTTTTTGTTTTGTATATATCACTCACATCAGAGCCACACATCACATAATGAATCATTCCAAGCATGCAATTGTTGGCCTCATGTGTCATCATTCTAGCGTGTGTATTACATTGCACTCATCTCTGGCCATACAGATGAATAACTATCTTCAACCCGTAAACAAACTAAGTTTAACACAATCATGTACAGAGCTGTGCGCCATTCACCGGTGCATGCAGAGGTAATTTATCATGCTTATTTGCACTTAGGGCATCCTGTAGGTGGTAAACCTGCTCTGCCATGGGAACATGGAATTCCCATCTCTGGCTCAGGGCCACCATTGGAGATAAGCATTGCCCCCACTGCTCATCTGAGCAGGGAGACACTTCGACTTGATTTTTACAGTGCATTTGCATTTTAATCAATAAACATAACCACTAATAATTGAGAATAGCAAAGTTCCAAAAGTAAATATTGGCTCTTACGAAGAAAAAGCCTTAAGAGAGCTCCATGTAAATAAAGATATCCAAATCCTGGCAGCTGATAAAGGCCGCACTACTGTAGTGATGTCACGAGCCGATTATGATAATAAAATTAGAAATTTACTAGAGGAAAGTACCTACATTAAAATTAAACGAGATCCAACTAATTCTTTAGAATGTAAGACTACTGCAATAATTGCAAATTCATTAATCCCTAAGAATGAGCAACACCAATTAAGCCAAGGGCCTCAAAACCACCTAGACTATGGTCTACCAAAGATTCATAAAATCGGCATCCCATTACGACCCATAGTCAGTACAATTGGCTCTGCCACTTATAAATTAGCAAATTATGTAACTAAACAAATACAGCCCTACATCGGTAGGACATCTTCATTCATAAGAAATTCAGAACATCTTGTGAATGTGATTAAAGATATTAAACTTAATCCTAATGATATTCTGGTAAGTTTTGATGTGATTTCTCTATTCACTAAGATTCCAGTGAACGAATCGCTTAAATTACTTGATACACTAGTAAAGAATACAGGTTTACCAAAAGATATTCCGAAACTTGCTGACCATTGTTTAAATAACACTTACTTCTTATGGAGAGGGGATTTCTTTAAACAAAAGGAAGGAGCAGCAATGGGCTCTCCTTTATCTCCTGCTATAGCAAATCTGTACATGGAAAACTTTGAAATAAGAGCACTTGCCTCGAGCACATTAAAACCATCTTTTTGGTTTAGATATGTGGATGACACTTTGGTTGTCTGGCCACATGGTAAAGATACTTTTAATGATTTTCTAAATAATCTCAATGCACAAAACCCGGTAAAATAACACACAGCGTTTACAGAAAGCAAACGCACACTGATGCCTATCTGAATGCAGATTCGAATCATCATCCAGCTCAGAAATCCTCTCTTATCAAGACGCTCATACATCGGGCTAAAACAGTGTCAGATGGTGAAAGTCTAGTGAGAGAGATCAAACACGTTAAAGACGCATTACGACAGAATGGCTACAATAACACTCAAATTAACAGAGCACTGAATGCCAAATCACCATCGCAAAGCAACACTGCTGAAAGGGATCAGATTGTTAAAACAATTAAAATTCCATATATCTCAGGAGTAACTGACAAATTAGCCCGTGTTTTGCAAAAGCAAAACATTACAGTAAGATTTGGTACAGTACACAAAATAAAAAAAAACTAGTATCTTGCACTAAAGACGAATTACCTAAATTATCAACAGAAGGTGTATATCGGATTAATTGTTTATGTGGCAGATGCTATATTGGACAGACGGGACGTAACATCAGCATAAGACTAAAAGAACACCAAAGAAATATTAAATTATCTCAAACACAACTGTCGGCAGTGGCAGAACATGCTTGTCAACAAGGACACTCAATTGATTTTGATAACGTTGAAGTGTTGTGTAAAACTAATTATTACTGGCAAAGACTAATTAGAGAATCCATTGAAATTGAAATAAAAATAACTTTAATCGTTCTGATAGCTATAGGCTTAGTGCGGCTTGGAAGCATATTATTAAATAATACATATTACAGTTCCTTATAGGGGAAACACATACTAATTAACGGATTACTAACGTAGCATATATTCACAATAACACACATTACAACTCATTACTAATCATAATCATTGACTGATTACGAATCGATTATATAATTACTGCACCTGAATGAGTTAAATGATGACGTCACCCTGCTGCTCTATTTAAGACCGGGAGCAGGTGAAGGCTTTACCATTCTGGCGAATTGCCCGATGATGCTGGATGTAATTACCAGCAAAACGTCGTATTCAAACTGTAAATGTTGTGGATTCACTCTTAAACACACCGGAGGGCTAAAGTAGTGAACTAATTGTCTTTTATATTCTTAGTTTTTTCGGTAAAGTCACGTTGAAGAGAAACAACAAAATAACAAAATATATATAAGACAATAAAAAATTATCACGACGTTTCGACCATAACTCAAACGGTCATCATCAGGTGTGTCGGTTTGCATAAATGTATTTTGAAAAGGCATATTTATTTATATATATATAAAAAAATAACGTTTGCGTCACGCGCAACGATGGCAGTTTGCCCAGGACTAGTCCATCTATTTTTTGAAACGTGACTTTACCGAAAAAACTAAGAATATGAATTACTGCAGTCACGAAAGCTTTAAATCAAAATTTAATTGTCTTTTGTCAACGTGACACTTTTTTTTTGCTGATTGGCCGTGTCGGGTGGTGGAGGGTTACGCCACATTTATAAATAACGCGATCTAACCCAAAATCCTTTATTAAGACTAATAACAATGCTTTTTATTACAATAAATACATTTTGATTTAAAGCTTTCGTGACTGCAGTGATTCATATTCTTGGTTCTTTCGGTAAAGTCACGTTGAAGGGAAACAATAAAGTAATAAAATATATATTTTATTTTTTCACACCTGATGATGACTGTTTGTGTTACAGTCGAAACGTCGTGCGAATTTTATTGTTTTATATATATTTTATTATTTTATTGTTGCCCTTCAACGTGACTTTACCGAAAGAACCAAGAATAATAAATACATTATTTTATTTTTCGATTTAAAGCTTTCGTGACTGCAAGGATTCATCTTCTTTGGTTCTTTCGGTAAAGTCACGTAGAATGAGAATAAAATAATAAAATAAAACAATAAAATTCTCACGACGTTTCGGCCACAACACAAGTAGCCGTCCTCAGGTGAAGAAACAGGACTGTCCAGCGCTGTCTTCTGGACAGTTCTGTTTCTTCACCTGAGGACGGCTACTTGTGTTGTGGCCGAAACGTCGTGAGAATTTTATTGTTTTATTTTATTATTTTATTCTCATTCTACGTGACTTTACCGAAAGAACCAAAGATGATACATTATTTTAGTTTAAACTGGCACGCACTTTAACTTGACTTTGCCCATTGCAGGTGACAGGTGTAGTGGGAAGAGCTGAGCTCCTGTCTTCCATATTCTTCCTGTCCGCCTTCCTGACCTACACCAAGTCCAAGGGACCCAAAAATTCCATTGGTAAAACAGCCCTTCTCATTTTACATATGACCGTAAAATGTCACTCTTTTTGTTAAGGAATTTCAAATCTGAGTTATGTTTTAGAGCTTAGCATGTGTTATTATTTTAAATGCATCACCTTTGTTGATTTGCTTTATTAACTGCGGAAAGTGGCATAAATTATGTTGCGTGTTTATAGTGTGTGGTGTGAGGTGCCTTACCTAGCCTGAAGGCATTGTCAAGAATAGTCGACTTAATATCTAAAGGTTGTAAGTTTAAATACCTATTGGTGGTTGACTGACCATTGACCTCCTTGGGTTGAATAAAATTACTACTGTATTGCAGAAAGTCAACACTTCCCCTGACGAGGTATTGATTCCACCATGGGAATGTGGAATTTATGCCACCAGCTCAAGGCTGTCAGTGTTAATGAGTAAAGCACATTCCCTGTTTGAGTAGGGAAATGCTTTGGCGAATCTGTTTTTGAATTTAACGGTATACATCATGAAGCTCAAATTATATTTTCTTGTGAACTATCACAATTGTAATCTGTTAGTCGGAAAATAAAGAATTCTTATTATTTCTAAGGAGAAGATGCAGGGGTTTTTGTATCGTGTGACGTCAGTGCTGTGTGGTGTTTATTTATTTATTTGTTCTGCGTGGTGTTTGGTGTAACGTTAGTCTCGCATAACATTTTACCATGTGATTTTAGTTCCGCGTCGGTATTTCTACCGTGTATATATGTGCAACACATTATGTTTTTACCATACATATATTCTCTGTACGTAGTGTTTGTAACAAAGTGCATTTGTAACGCTGGATATTTGGTGTTCCTACCATATTTGCGCTTGTACCACTTGGTGTTTGCACTGCATTGTACCACGTATGTATACACACCATGCCTGTGTGTACTACATGGTGTGTGTACTCCATGGTATATGTACTAAATCTTGTTTGCATTTATATTTTATGTGTATTCGTAGAACCACATTTCTATTTTGCCCATCATGCCTTTGACCAACTCACCCGACATTCATCAAGATCACATAAGCCTAGCAGAGTTGAGCCTGAATTGTGCTTGGATGGGTGACCACCATGCACAGCCGGTTGGTATATACTGTAAGCTGCAGGGTACGTGGTGAGCAGCAGAGACCGTTGTTTACTGCTGTCTGTTCTCACAACTTTGCCGTCCGCTTTCACCATCCGGCACAATTATGGTCAAATAACCCCCATAACCCGCACGACATGGAGGAGGTCCTCATCCAGCAGTGGATTAACAAAGGACACTACGTGTATGTATATTGGTATCATGTACGTAGAAGTAAGGCGTGTGTGTGTGTGTTCCGGATGACGCTGTGCTGTGCAGTGTGGTGGCCAATCACACTGACGGTTCTCCTCGTGGCGCTCGCCACTCTCTGCAAGGAGCAGGGTCTCACCGTCATCGGCGTCTGCTGCGTCTATGAGGTCTTCGTCGCTCAAGGCGTACGTCCAACATGTGTCCTTCTGTCCCCCTGTCTGTCTGTTAAACGTTGAAGACTGCAGGGCAATTGGTTATGTGAACACCTCCCATTATACATTTAGTGGAGTTCATATATTATCTGCCTGTGACAAAATTAGCCAGGAATGCACCCAAGTCTTGGCAGATCTCAGAAGCTAAGCAGGTTTGAGCCTGGATGGATAGTGCTTGGATGGGTGATCACCGTGCGTAAAATGAATGATAAAGGCATACTGCTAGTGGGGCTATGTTGTAGGTAGCAGAGGACATGGGTGCAAATATCTGTAACTGCGCCTACATCTATGCTCTCTCCACCTTCAAGCAGCACTGACCAGCATGGTAAAGTATGGTCAGTTGACCCACATGACCTGTACGGTGTGAGAAAGCCCTCTTTTCAGCAGTGGATTCACAAAGGGGCTCTATATGTACACGCCCTTATCTTGTCTGTAGGGGTGGCTTTAATAGCCGTATCTTTTTGAGAATATTTTCCTATTGTCTCCGGCCAAAAAGCTGTCGGATTGATATTTACATTTACGCGTATAAATGTCTGTGCCACTGCTACTAAAATTGCAAATGACCCGGGTGACCTGAGAGTTTTACCAGTGTGAATTTGCACACCGTGGCACTAGGCGCATCACAGGTTCTACTTCTAATTGCCTGCCCCAGGACACATTGTAGGGGTTGGTGACATGGCCTAGCAGTACCGCGTTCACGGCCTGTTGCAGAGGTTCACACTTAGAACCCAGTGACCGCCCTGATTATTACTGTGGGTGTAAAACCGTTGACCGTGCACTTCCCTTTTAAACAAGGTCACGCTACAGGTTTGATTGGACACCTATGAATCGCCTCAACCAGCTCGTCTTTGCAGATCACATCTTTTGACATCAGCTATGGTCATGTTCCATTCTTACGATCCATATATGGTTAGTGGGCTCGCCATCGTGTCATACTTTTTTCTTTTAGTTTTTATAGTCATGTCTTAATTATTCCAGGTCTTGTTACATTTGTTCCAAATGTATCTGGTGTAAATCACATTTTTATATCAGGCCTTCTACATATACATATGATCCTTATGGCGGAACCGTGGGGTACCGAATAATACAAAATGGCCGAGGCAATTAAATATTTTATTTCTGGGACACTATTTTTCCAGGGGTCTACTTCACTCCGCGACTGGGGTACCAATCCGAAATCAGTGCTACTCCGCGATATCGAAAAGCCAAACAGAATAAAAAATCATCTTCTTTGGTTCTTTCGGTAAAGTCACGTAGAATGAGAATAAAATAATAAATTGATAAAATAAAATGACACAATAAAATTCTCACGACGTTTCGGCCACAACACAAGCGGCCTTCATCAGACTGTCTGGAGGACAGCGCTGTCCTCCAGACAGTCTCGTCCCTTCACCTGATGAAGGCCGCTTGTGTTGTGACCGAAACGTCGTGAGAATTTTATTGTGTCATTTTATTTTATCAATTTATTATTTTATTCTCATTCTACGTGACTTTACCGAAAGAACCAAAGAAGATGAATCCTTGCAGTCACGAAAGCTTTAAATCGAAAAAAAAAATCAGTTATGGAACATTTTTTGAATAGCGCGTAGTGTACAGCTCGTCGAGATGAGTCGATTGCCGCATTGCCGACCATCAACAGACTAAAAACGACCGCATCACGGACATTATGCGAGAGCTGGGGTGCTATGGTACTCCGGGGTACCGCCATGAGGTTCATTTATAAATGCATCTGCTTGCTCCAGGTTATCATTGCCTATGTAAAGTTTCAGTTTGCGCTCAAGGCTACTTTGGGAATTACGTTTGCACTGCTCCACCCGAAGATGGTGCTGTACTACAGAGCACGTAGCTTACAATTGTGGGGGCAGTTTCACCCACATTGGCAGTGCCATGGCGAGGCGGGGGTGGGGGCGAGGCTGGATGCTGTGCAAATTTACAGTGGATGATGCATTACTGGATGCCTAAAAATAAAAAAAAAATATGCTCACCGGAATCGCCCCACCAGACATTGGGGGTGGGGGGGCGGTTGCTCGTCAAATGGAATGATCATGATGACTTGAGAACACGAGAGACATCCGTTACATGTTCACACCATAGAAATACGCAGGTGTAGAGAGAGACACACACACAGATACACAGAAAACATAAAGATGCAGAGATACGGGATGAGGACACTAAGACGCTCATTACATGGCCACACCACATTTTGATGCTGCCAGCAATCACAGAAAATCTTCCTGGAACTGCTTGATAAACAACGGACGGCCACACGACTGGAAATGTGGAAAAACGCGGCTTGATGCAATAATTAACGACGCCGCAAGCGCACATCGACTTTGGCAAACTCCTTGCCACTGACCGAGTGAAATCGGTCGGCCTCGATGCGTCTAAATGACCTACGAACTCAAAAGTTAACGTGTGGAAGGCGTGGCTGATCTGACGATATCGACACGTGCGACTGCGGTGGAACACAAACCACGCAAGACCTAAATTTTGATTTAAAGCTTTCGTGACTGCAGTAATTCATATTCTTAGTTTTTTCGGTAAAGTCACGTTGAAGAGAAACAACGAAATAACAAAATATATATTTTTATTGTTTTATATATATTTTGTTATTTTGTTGTTTCTCTTCAACGTGACTTTACCGAAAAAACTAAGAACACGCAAGACCTGTCAGTCGGGATTTGAAGGCCCTCGCCATGGCCACAGACCAGCCAATATCATCATGTGCCCAATACTGGTTAAACGTGTTACTGTGGTGGCAGGACATGAGAATAAGCAGATATGTAAGGATTAGAGCAAGAGGGCTGCACACAATGTGATACATGAAACTCATCTTTCTGTTACGTGCACGCAACTCACCCTGCTACACTCTGGAGCACAACGTGAATATTGCACGCACCCATGCTTGTGTGCAGAAGCATACGGCAGCCAAATACAAATGAAGGACAGAGTCACGCGGTCTCGAGGTCAATATTTACATTGGGAGAAAATAACCCGAGGTTAAAGAAATGTATTGAAGTGTTTTACACTGCATGTACAACGATATAATTTACAGCCCGTTGGTAATTCACTGCCGGATGAAGGCCCCCCCCCAAAGTCATTGGGGTTATTTAACCATACTTCTGCGAGCTGGTCATTGCCATTTGGTGAAAAGTGGCTTCAGTACCGGTTCAGATATCACCTGCTACTGATGTTAACTGCGGCCAGGAATCAAGCATTTAATACTGCCATCCCCTAGCCACTTTGCAGCCCCACATCTATAACACATGGCAAGCCCTCCTGGCCACCCATCCAAGCACTGTCCAGCCTCAACCCTGCTTGGCATCTGAGATCCAATGAAATATGTATGGTGATTTGGTCATAGGGAATATATCCCAGTGGTTATTATTTTGGAGTGATGGTGGTGGGTGAATTAATAATTATTGGCGGTGGTGGTTGATTTGTTGCAGTTGACGCTGCGCGATGTGCTGAGTGCAGCACGCGCAGTTGTGGTGAGCGAGAAGGGAGGCGGCACTGGGCTGCCCCCGTGGGTGCGCACCACCGCTGCCAAACTGCTGGTCCTTGTGTCCAGCACACTGCTTCTACTGCTGCTGCGAGTGCAGGTCATCCAGTCGCAGTTGCCTGTCTTCACCAAGTGAGTTGAGAAACTAGTTTAAGCCCCACGTCCCTTTGAATGTGAGTTGACTGACTTAACTGCAACAGGGCCAACTTGCTGGGTTAGTGCTGTTTGAAGTTCATGCTCAAGTTTTTCACTGCTCAAATGAACATGTCCATCAGTTTTGGCAGACCTGGATGATATGTGCCAATTCACTCTACTAGTTATCTCCAAAGTATGTATGTTGAACTTCTTTCGCACCGTACGTAGCCGACCGTGTTAATCAGAGGTGCGGGGGAAGGACAACATAGGACACGGTGGGATCTCAAATCCTTGACGCAACTCAATTTTGGTTGATTAGGAATTCCCATCTTTTCGACACAGACAAATAAGCCACATTTAGGGTTGCAGGATGTCAAAACAAGTGCTGTATTAAAGTTACATTTTCACTCTGCCCAAATTACTTTTGGGGGCTTGTGGCCCTAAACCAATCATGAAAATTTCACATTCCTATGGCTGCAACTAGTTTCTAAAACCTTCACCGTCAACTGCCCATAGATTAGGAATTGCTGTAAGCACGTGTTGCTTAACATGAGCTATGGTTAATTGCGCAAAGTATGACTAAGTGCATACCGTCAACTCGCTCAAAAAACCATTTGGATATATAAATCTCACACGAGTATGAACTTTTAAAAAAGTAATTCTGGGCCTTTGCGTCGGTGAACACAATGCGGTGAGGTTAGTGCCGCGTGTGTCCCTCGAAGGTTCGACAACCCGGCAGCCGTGAGCGGCTGGCCTGCACGCCAGCTCACCTACAACTACCTGCTGCCGCTCAACGCGTGGCTGCTGCTGTGTCCCGCTGCGCTCTGCTGCGACTGGACCATGGGCACGGTGCCGCTGCTGGTGACGCTTGCCGACCCCCGCAACATGGCCACGCTGGCGATGTACGCCGCGCTCGGCTGCCTGGCTCAACGCGCCCTCACTGGTGACCGGGCGCTCGCCATGGTACGGGGCCCGGGATGTCACTTGTGTCGGAGGGGGGGGGGGGGGACAAGAGACAGAGGGATGAAAACAGGATTCTTTTTTTAATATGCTTGGGAGCAAGACGACATCCTTCGCACGATGCTCCTGTTCAGTGTGTTTGTGCCTGCATGTTATGTGCCGCTCATCAACACAACGAATGTTGTCAGGAAGTCATCGGATGTCAAAATGTCAATCTCCCGTTTTGATTGGCGACGTGAAATGTGGATAAAGAATGAAATGGAGAGACTGAAATTAAGTGAGATGGATGCATTGAGAGTAGAGAAGGATAGACTGATATACAGCATGAGATGGAGATAGTGCCAAATAATGAGTCAGACTGAGGGAAAGGGAGGCAGGGAGACCAAGACAGAGAGACAGACATTGACAGAGGCATATCATCTCACGTATGTATGTATGTTGAACTTATTTTGCATTGTAACGTATGTAGCCAATCGTGCTAATCGGAGGTACAGGAGAAGGACAAAAAACTAAACGCATAAGCAGTTCTAAAGAAATTCGTTTTCAATTGAGATTTAAAAGTGCATAGCTGTAGTGGCATCCGAATAACAGACGGAAGAGCGTTCCAGATGGCTGCAGAAGCATACCTGAAAGCGCGCAATGCAATGGCTGTATTTGTTCGAGGATGGCTGGAGTTGGTGTGATGGTTTATGCTCCTTGAGATGAGCAAGGTATTGTGGTTCATTTGTGGCAAGCACTTTGTGGGTAATGAGTGTCACCTGTTCATTCATCTCCCGTGCAGGCTCTGTCTCTGCTGGTGCTGCCTTTCATCCCAGCCTGCAACCTCTTCTTCCCCGTGGGGTTTGTCGTGGCAGAGCGTGTTCTGTATGTGCCCAGCATGGGCTTCTGCATGGTCGTGGCCATGGGATGGTACAGGCTGTCTCACCTCAGGTACGGTTCGGTTCAAGCGCACACGTGTGTGTGCACAAGTCCTGCAGTGGTTGTTAAACAAATATTCTAACCTTTTCATTTTTTGTACAACCTAGCAACATCCAGAGTTGTCACTGTCCAAAAAAATATGTGGACCACTCCCAGGCCTTTTCAGAAAGAGCTCTTATCACACCAGCATCAACAGAAAAAATAGGCCTTATAGGTCGAGGACCTTTAAGCTCCAGGAGAAGGAGAAATGAAGTAGCACCCTGACCCGAAGGTTTCCGTCCACACCAATTCAGCTCCCTCGGGGGGGGTCCTACCACTGATGGCAGGATTATCCCCGATCTGCACCCCAATCCCCTATTGTGGTAGCACCTGTCCCGATTCATTGTCAGGTGAGAGGCATCATTTAAAGATGAATGGACCCTCAGTCATCAGGCAAGGCTATCTTCTGGTCTTCAAAGAGGAGCCTGCCCCGTCCGGCATGGTAAGAATGATGGTCCAAATACTGGACGCTGAACGCAGGCTGTGTGATTATGGGAACATCGGGATCTACCTCCAGTAGGACAGCGGAGTTTTACTCTTCCGTTCGTCATGACTCTGAAAGCATAGGGGGCTTCTATGCGACGCCTAGGTCTCGGGCATCTCAACCACTCGTTGCCTTGCTGGATGTCCCATGCAGTCACTCTGAGGTCAATGGAAAACGATGAAAACTTGGCGACTGGCTAGCAGCCATAGATTTGGCAGATGTATGGTCCCATAGACGAGACACATTGTCAGTTGGTGAAGTTTAAGGTGGGAGACTTCCGCCTGCAATACGACGACACGGTTTTTATCTTTGACCCTCAGCCTTGTGAAGGGTCTAGAACAGGGGTCGGTAACCAAAACAACAAGAAGAGACATTTTTTATTTGATTAAAAAAAAACAATATTTAAAAAGCTGCAATGCATGTGAATACGAGATGGTCCTTAATAAATAACGTCACGAAGCAGTCCTTAATGAGCCGCATGCGTCTCGGGAGCAGCAGATTGCCGACCCATGCCCATGGTGAACTGGACTTCCGTGGTCAACTGGACTTCCGTGGTCAGGGGTCAGAAACCAAAATAACAAGAATATCCATTTTTTTACAATTTCAAAAGCCGCAAAATGCTGCACTGCAGTCCTTAATAGAGCCACATGCGGTTCTGGAGCCGCAGGTTACCGACCCCTGGTCTAGACTGAAGTACTGGAGCCCATCATTTGTTCATTGCGAGGAAGGTTCATGTCCATCCATGTTTGGATGATACCTCGGTCAAGTGCTTTTTTAGATCCCTTCTCGTTTTGCAAAAGCACCTTAGACACCCATAAAAAACAATATCGATGAACCCTTTTCCGCTGGTTGCATGCAGGCAGTTTTTACACACAGGTGATTTACTTTTTTTGTCCGGGGGAAATACAACCACATGCTTAGAAATGATTACAAAAGCAGTGCCAGACGGTGCTTGTTATTGCTGCTATATGTGTATACATCCTGGCCCCGCATGCACAAAAGCAGCCTGGTTTTATGGTTTTCAGACCCATTGCTCTTGTCTGTGGGAGCCAAAGTGCGTGTGTGGCCAAGATAAATAATGCAAATGCTTAGCACAGCAAAGAAACTCCCTGTTGGCGTACCACTTTTGTACAAAATTCTCGACCAGGAGAAACTAATCGAACAAGTAAATCGGAGAGAAAACAAAGACTCAGAGTCAAGAAGGGGGAGTAAATAAGACGGTGTGAGTCAACAACTGGTTATTAAGTGACTCCATCAAATACTCGCTTATTATTTGTGCAATTTTAGAATACATTATTTTTCTATTTACACGGCCTGGCAGTTCTGTAATGCTTACTGCCACTAATGACCTCGCTAAAAATGCTATTACATTGAATTTGGTCGGCCAAGTAATTTTGGATATTGCAGAGTTTTTAATTGTCCCTATGTCTTTCCACAATAGCTACAGGTTCGTACAAATAATAAGACACTTATTTAAAGGACTTCAGAAGTAGTTGTGACGCCATCTTTCAGTGCCATTCTATGACATGAGGTGATGCGCACTTTGCATTGAGATTTACACGTTCAACTTTATTCATCTTGTGATATGACGGTGATATCAAAATTAGAACATAACTGTGGAAACATGCACAATCCTGTACTGTCCGGACCGGCAGCTGAGCGGTATAACAAGCGGTTCACAATCAGAAGGTTGCTTGTTCTAATTCTGGTTGGCCATTGACTCAGACCATCATTCCCTTGGATCAATAAAATGAACATTGCTTTTGTGGGGCGTCAACAGTGGTTATCCTATGGATTGATTCACCTCTGGCATAAGAATGTGGAAATTCCACCACCTGCTCAGGGCTGTAAATAAGAGATGAGCGCTGCCTCATTTCTCATTTGAGCAGGAAATCACTCCGACTTTTTTCTCTTTGACACCACAAAATCACATTTGCATTAAAGGATCTTGCATTAAACACTGTCATAGAAACAAACAATGATATAGAAACGTTGCATTGACATTCTGTGCACAAACTCACTTGCCTCTCTGTGCATTCATTAATTTTATTACCATTAATATGCAAGGCAGCATGTTACATAATAATTGAAAAACATTGTTGTTCAGTTTGTCATGCAGTAGATAGCATTATGACAACCCCATAGCTTGTTCATGTGCATGCATGAAACGTATACATATATTTTACTTGAGATGCTATCACGGCATTCCACATTTTATATACTTCCTGGAACAGTCAGCACTCCTGTCACACGTGATGAATGCGATGTGAGCTCTTGGCGCATTCATTTTGTGCAAGAGACTTATGCTTCTTTGCTGTGTGCGGAATGAAGTCTTGGCCAGTGCTCATTCCATTGTTTCAAAAATGCTTGGTCACATCCAGAAATGCAGTGCTGGCTCATGTGTAAACACTGACAGGCTATGAATGGCCAAAGTCATTGTCATCTGAAGCAGTATCTGTAAAATGCTTAACCAAAACCTGTTGACCCAATAGCATTTAAAGTATCGTCACAAATGTTGTCGTGTCAAAACAAGCATGTGTTGTGCTCAAGTTCATTCAAGGGCACTGGGTTAAAGGTTATTAAAAAAAACATCCACATTCCAATGGTGGGATTAGTTTCTCCATAGGCCAGCCATTTTTGAGATCCCACAAAGCATTGCTCACTTTAACGAGCCTCGCAGGATAAGGGCTACTGGTATGCAGGGCTGAGTTGACCCCCGACTGTGATTTATAATCTGCGACCTTTAAATGGAGTGTACGGACCACTGTTCCATCCAGCCAGGTGGATGGCACATTTTAAAACTATGTCCAACTCACAATCGGAAGGTTGTGAGTTGAAATCTCATTTTTGTGATCGCTACAGCCCTTATTTCATCCTGGGTTAATAAAATAAGCACAGCTTTTTGGGAAGTCAACAAGCTTTGCCTCTTTGAATGCCTCAGTCCCTGTTATAGACAGCAGAATTTCCACCGTTGACCCATGACCGGGCACATGGGTCTGATTAACAATGTTCAATACTTATTTCGGCATGAGAACATTTTTTATTACTTATACGTTTTCCTAAAATTGTCACGAATAACCAAGTTACTGCATGAATTGAACTTGTGATTTTATTCTTCAAAATAATTTTACCAGAAGACCATTTGGCTATCACAACACTTCATTAATAACGACGCTTTTACATATAATAACAGGAAAGAGAAATACTGGCAATGATTTCGAGTCTAAAGCTATTGTTCTATTTTGTGTTACAGCTGGATCATTTCCATTTGGTTTATGTGACCCCTCTTCCTGGAATAGCTTAGAATGCCTGGTGATTTTTCAAAAAGATGTGTCTTCGAGGCAGACTTGCATACTCCTGTCATTGTTAACAATGGGGGACATTGTTGACTCCTCGGTATTAAAAACGGGATGTTCCTCTGATAAAAGATCAGCGTTTGTGCGGAAGAGGAAGGTCGTTTTGAGGTCCGGAACTTCTTAACACGATCTCACACTGGTCTGCATCTTACTGAGACTGCCAGAAGATGGCCGTTAAACAGCTTGGCAATGAAGAAATACAGAGTGATAGTCTTTTGGGCGTGCATACGTACATACACACCGATAAAACGCATGCAGATACACAGGCAGATATGAATTGAATGGAAACAGTGAGTCTTAACCAAAATCACCCTGAATCCACAAGATTTCTCCTTCAGATGTCGTAAGCTAAGAAAGGCAACCTGGTTAGAACTTAGATCTCACAGTGCCGAGGAATTCCAGCTGTTCTAAATTTTGGGCTGTGATGTGTCTTGGAGGAGGCACCACAACATTTATGAGCTCGCATTTGAATTCCACATTTGTATCACATACACAGTATATATCTGCGTCCCAGTGTTTTGTGCATTGTATTGAGATGCATTTGAATTCTGGTGTAATGAAAATCCACATTGTATGTGGGGCTAGGGAGTGACAAAAGGAATGTTTTCATCCCATATCCGTGATCTTGACAACAGTTTATAGTACCATCTCATCTCATCCCTGGAGAAATGCTCCCATTCTCTCTCACCCTGTCATGGACAGATGAAAGAAAAGCTGAAGTAGATTATAGATGAGAGGGCACTCGAAGGCCACACGAAAGAGATAATATGCAAATGACAGTTCCAAAGATATGACAGTGCATGCATACAGCACGAAGAATACTGTGCAGGTGAAACAAAGACTAAAAATGTACCACATGGATACAAAAATGTATGTATCTTATTACAGACGATTAATTACAAAAAAAAACGGACAGCATTCTGGCAGCCAGCATTCCTGGCGATGAGCGGTGTCGACGGACACGGCCGTGTCGAGACGCGACCACGAGTGGCACCGTCGTTACCGATATCATTGGACGTCGGGTAACCCACACTTGTTGTAATGCTCGCAGGGCCGTGCGCGTGCTGACGTGGGCTGGCCTGGTCCTCCTGCTGGCAACGCACGCCGTCAAGACCGTGCACCGCAACGGCGACTGGGAGACGGAGTACACGCTTTTCACGTCGGCGCTCAAGGTATCGCTCGGACAAGAGCACGCACGCTGCACGCAGCAGCAGCAGCGGAGAGAGAATAGACATTGAAAGGGGGGAGTGGCGGGGGGGGGTTTGTTAAGCACCAGAGGTGTGTTAGGGTTAAGGATAGTATCAGGATAGAGCAACATATTTGTCAATAACAACTGTGGCAAAAATGTGTAGTAGGCGATGTTTGAGGCAATGGGCCTTCGTAGCATTTTATGTGCTGTGGAGAAGGGCCATAGTGAAATATGGGAGAAACACGGTCAACCATGTTTTTATATCTTCATGTCTGTATTGTTTGATGACTTCCTGAAACAAGAGATAGTAAATACTTTTAGGCATTGGTTTAACATGTGAGAATGTGCATTTACAATTTTTAGTCGGAAAGAATACATAAAGTGAACAAAATGGCATTTTCTTTGGAACTTATATGCGGAGATTATTATCCCCTTAGAGATAATGTGGACTGCACTACTGTATAAGTGATTGACCCTGAGACACAATCATTATTCTTTCTGATTCATATATTATCAAGAAACTGACTGGTGTGGGATTCAGGTCACATTAGATTACAATTTAGGCTTGACTCAGACTATGGTGGGAGTTAAAATATAACCAGTGTGGGATTGAGGCTTTGACCACAGTGATTTTCTTTCTGACTCACCACTGTGAGGTTCAGGCGATGGTTGTGACAAGCAATGGTGTAAATAAAAAAATATAGTTTTAATCAAGTAATAGAATGGGTAGTTTATAAAGTAAACATTGGGTAGTCTGCATGCCTTTATAATCGCTGCGATAGTACTTATTTCTATCTTTGGACCTTATTTATCCAAGCTTCCATGAAATATCGTACAGCCCATAACTCTACTGATAACGACAACTACATAGTTCACTAGCTGGAAGTGTGCAAAACAAAATAAGTAAGCAGATAATGTCTTCTTCAAATGTATATTTATTTGCCATTCGCCTCATGGCCCTCAATCATCGCTGGTGAAATTATTCACTCGCAGAAGGCCGTGGCTATATTTGAAATACTTTTTTTTATCATGTGGAGATAAGGATATATGATGGAGCTGTAGTGTTTACTTATTGATTGTGCTCTACAATCAATAAGTAAGTTGTACAACCAACTGTTGGAATGGATCCTACGGTACAGTAACTACTCTGCATCCTTCTTGCCATATTCTTGTCTTGAGGGGAGAGTGTGGCAGTGGTTTTGCACTATGTTTCTGATGCACCCTGACTGGACATCTTTGAAAAAGGGATTCTTAGCTCATCAGATTTCTCCTGTCTAAATTAAGATTCTGATTCTATGCACAGTAGTTTATCGGTAGAGTACTGCGTAAGCGTTTGTGAAGTATTGTTCACCGCAAATATTCTGCCGTGTACACGTTAACCGCAGAATGATATTGGGCATTGCTGCAGCTGTTGAGCATCGGTTGAATTGTGTTGATCAGTAGTTGCTGTACTTTTTACCTCATCAACCTTCTTAATAAAAAATATATTTACTGCAATCCGATTTTCTGACAGCTTAAGCCCTTGTCACACTGTACGACGTCACGAACGGTTGCATGCAATGTGATACGTGTGCATCACCTACATGTTCTTGCAACTCGCAAATGGCTGCTAAAATTAACTCCTTTCGCGTGTAAAACTTCAAATTGCACGACACAGATCGTTGGAATAGCGGCTTGCATAGTTGTAGTCGCGCTGTACTGCACTATGACGATACACGATGTGATGTCCTACATCATGTTGTGTGTAACTGTCGGTGCTTCTCACACCGAATAACATAACGAGACGTGAACGCCACACGATGATCTCGGCGTGATCCACCTGCCCATATCCAAAGCTCTGTATTTCTGGCATCTGTGAGCGCACAGACTTTGGACTTGGGAGTCCAGCATGCTTTAAACCTTTTAGATTGTCTTGGCAATGAGTCATACATACGCGGCCCCAGTTAATCAGCCAAAGCTTTGCACCCTCAGAATAGTCGAATGTGAACTGGGTAGTTTTGTGAATGACATTGGTTCATTGTTTCTGAATACCGGAGTTAACTTAATGGTGTGTGGGTATATGTGCGTGTGTTGAGAGGGGAGCGGTAGTATAGCGGTTAGCGTGCTGCGCTTCGAACCTGGCGACCCTGGTTCGATTCCCGCTCACAGCCAACACCAGTGACGATTATCTGAACCGGTCCTGCGCCTCCCCTTGGTCGACTCAGGCTCAAATGAGTACCTGGTGTGATGTGTAAACATCGCCACGAGGGAGGCAAAGGCGGGCGGGCGTGGTGTTGGCCACCCACCCCCTCGTGTGCCGTGCCGGCCTTTTTAGGTGATCGCTAACAGCACTTGCTCCTACAGTCTGTTAAGGCTATACGGGGGAGCTTTGTCTCTGTTGAGAGGAGCGGTTCTCCTCTCGTGTATGGCAATATGTTCAGGAGCTTAACGCCAGTGTCGAGGTCTGCTAGCTATGAGAGGGCTCCAGGAGAGAGTTCATGTAGTAGGGGAGCAGTTGTGCAGTGGTTAGCGTACTGTGCCAAAACACCCGGTGAACCAAGTTCGATTCTCACGATCACTAACAGTTGCAAATATTTGAACATGGCCTGGGCCTCTCCTAGGTAGACCCAGCCTTAAATAAGTACCTGGTGTGGTTGTGTAAACATTAGCACTGGGGAGACAAAGGCGGCCAGTATTGGCCACCCTGGTGTGCCGTGGTGGCATTCATATGTGCATACAGTACTTGCGACAGCAGTCTGTTCAAGGTGACATGGGGGATCTTTGTCTTTTGTGTGTTGGGTGAGAGTGAGAGCTGTTTAATCAGTAAATGGGGAAGTGGGAGGGGAATGGTTTCACATTTGGACTGTATGTAACACCGTGAATCGTGCTACAGTGAGGGAAAAACGTATTTGATCCCCTGCTGATTTTGTACGTTTGCCCACTGACAAAAAAATGATCAGTCTATAATTGTAATGGTAGGTTTATTTGAACAGTGAGAGATAGATTAACAACAACAAAATCCAGAAAAACGCATGTTTTTGACCCCTCTGCAAAACATGACTTAGTACTTGGTGGCAAAACCCTTGTTGGCAATCACAGAGGTCAGACGTTTCTTGTAGTTGGCCACCAGGTTTGCACACATCTCAGGAGGGATTTTGTCCCACTCCTCTTTGCAGATCTTCTCCAAGTCATTAAGGTTTCGAGGCTGACGTTTGGCAACTCGAACCTTCAGCTCCCTCCACAGATTTTCTATGGGATTAAGGTCTGGAGACTGACTAGGCCTCTCCAGGACCTTAATGTGCTTCTTCTTGAGCCACTCCTTTGTTGCCTTAGCCGTGTGTTTTGGGTCATTGTCATGCTGGAATACCCATCCACGACGCATTTTCAATGCCCTGGCTGAGGGAAGGAGGTTCTCACCCAAGATTTGACGGTACATGGCCCTGTCTATCGTTCCTTTGATGCTTTGAAGTTGTCCTGGCCCCTTAGCAGAAAAACACCCCCAAAGCATAATGTTTCCACCTCCATGTTTGACGGAGGGGATGGTGTTCTTGGGGTCATAGGCAGCATTCCTCCTCCAAACACGGCGAGTTGAGTTGATGCCAAAGAGCTCCATTTTGGTCTCATCTGACCACAACACTTTCACCCAGTTGTCCTCTGAATGATTCAGATGTTCACTGGAAAACTTCAGACGGGCATTTTTATGTGCTTTCTTGAGCAGGGGGACCTTGCGGGCGCTGCAGGATTTCAGTCCTTCACGGCGTAGTGTGTTACCAATTGTTTTCTTGGTGACTATGGTCCCAGCTGCCTTGAGATCATTGACAAGATCCTCCCGTCTAGTTCTGGGCTGATTCATCACCGTTATCATGATCATTGCAACTCCACGAGGTGAGATCTTGCATGGAGCCCCAGGCCGAGGGAGATTGACAGTTCTTTTGTGTTTCTTCAATTTGTGTATAATCGCAGCAACTGTTGTCACCTTCTCTCCAAGCTGCTTGGCAATGGTCTTGTAGCCCATTCCAGCCTTGTGTAGGTCTACATCCTTGTCCCTGACATCCTTAGAGAGCTCTTTGGTCTTGGCCATGGTGGAGAGTTTGGAATCTGATTGATTGATTGCTTCTGTGGACAGGTGCCTTTTATACAGGTAACAAGCTGAGATTAGGAGCACTCCCTTTAAGAGTGTGCTCCTATTCTCAGCTCGTTACCTGTATAAAAGACACCTGGGAGCCAGAAATCTTTCTGATTGAGAGGGGGTCAAATACTTATTTCCCTCATTAAAATGCAAATCAATTTATAACATTTTTGACATGCGTTTTTCTGGATTTTTTTGTTGTTATTCTGTCTCTCACTGTTCAAATAAACCTACCATTAAAATTATAGACTGATCATTTCTTTGTCAGTGGGCAAACGTACAAAATCAGCAGGGGATCAAATACTTGTTTCCCTCACTGTAGATCTGACTAAGTACACATGCACGTGTTTGCAATGTGCACTCAAGTGATTTGTATATATGTACACATTCACTTGTTTTCGCATGCTTGTATGTGTTATTTTATGCATTTGTGTGCTTTGTCTGTACTATTTATTAATATATAAAACTTCAGAAAAGCATCATTATGACCACTGTGTTGCAGACAATTTAATGTATCACATTGCTTAACTTTGCCCTTTCCCATCACTAGCAATATTTGCAGTTCGTGTCTGGCTGTGGCTCGATCTTGAAGTAGAAATGCATCCTTGTCCGCCGTGTTGCAAACTGCCCATAATGCAATTTTTCCGAAGTCTCTTTGCCATTGTTGTACTATACACCTATGCTCCACACAATTATTATCCCCTATCGTGAGCTTCCTTTTTTAGCGAGTCAAGTGTTATTTTGTTACGTTCCAATTTGGGAAAGTTGCCTGGTGATGGAATATGACACGTTGGTTTATGAGATATTTTAGGAGAGTGGGGGGAGTGTACAACCGTTCTAGGTGACATGCTTGATGGTGCGTACCACTAATCCAGGAGCGCCATGGTGGCGAGATATTAAATACCTTGCCTGGTATGCAGGAGTTTGTGGGTTCGATCCCCACCCTGATGCCTGTATATTTGGAATTTGCATGTTCTCCCCGTTGTCAGGTGGATTTTTCTCCGGGTCCTCCAGTTTTTCCCTCCACATTTAGAAACATGCGTTTAGAGTATTTGGCTGCTATAAATATCCACATGATAAGCCACTTCGTTGAGCTATAATTTGTGGCTAGGTCGCTTCTGAAACAAGTTATGTAGCTCAGTGGGCTTTACCTAAAATAAAAAATATATTTTTAGTTCAGTTAAGCTTTGCAGATAATGGTGTTGATGTGAGACTGCTACCCGGTAGGCCTTTGAGGTTGTCAGAAACGGGGCAGTGCAGAGTGCACCGTACGTAGATGTTTACTAATTATGGATTCCAATGCTGGGGATTTCCCACCTACTCCCGTTTCCTCCCGCTTGTAAAACGGTCTCGGAATTTCTAACCATGTCACGCAGGGCAACATGAGTCTGCACACTCATTTTTGTGGGGGTTTTTTGTATGGAAAATACATTACTGCTTCTTAATTACTCTTTGATGAATGAAATATTAAGGGAGGGTTGTTTTTCTGCTGCTCTCATGTCATATTCTTTGCCTTGGGTATGACATATAATCCACATAAACCTTTTGATGCAAACTGGCACAAACTGAGCAACACAGTACAAACACAATAAAAAAATCCAATTTGGAATTCCAGTCAATCAAGTGAGGTTCTTCATTCAGATATGTCCGTGTGGAATGCCATATGCTGAAAAGATCACATGGAATCATGATAGACTGCTCTGTTTGCTTATTAAATCTGAGAATTATGCGTTCACATCAGTGGAAATATACATGTTTTCAACCATAGCGTGTGTGATGACTTCATAGCGCTTATCAGTGACTGCACCAAAAACATATGGAAATCGTATCTGATTTAGGCAAGCTCACATTTGAAGGCTATTAATGAATATTAAAACAAAATACTTTTTTTGGATGGCTTGCAAGAAAACACGCTTTACAGAACTTGAAAGGGAGCCTGTTGAAGTGGCTCCAATCGCATTTCTGTAAATAATTTCTGTGGAAATTCCCAGACATCTGGTGGTTGTCAGAGAATGCGTAGAGTTAAAGGTCTTCATATATTACAATAGATAACCCTTTGTTCTGCAAAGTCAAACGGTCAATCAGTGGATTGGTATTTATTTTCATTGACTTGAGTACAGTACTCTTTTTCAGATGGCTGCTAACTGACCCTCTACAATAGAAAACAAAAATAATTTGCCTACTTTGGGAAGCATGTAAATATTAATATAGATAAGCAAACAATGTCTCATTCATATATCTGTCTTTCCACCTAAGAAAATACTTTTATTCTACAATAGATAGGCTTGTTCGTAGAGAATTTAGTATAGTTTGAAAACATATATATCAATATTTATTCATGAAAGCCTCACTCATTCTTAAAACTTATTTTTAGGAAGGTCCCACATAGACCAGTTTCTTGTTCAGGAATTTTTGTCTTCGAAAAGAAATCCAGAGTACCCGGAGAAAAATGACACATTACAGGCGATAACACTGACTGGTTCTCATGGATGAATCGGGAAACCGTTTGGTGTACTGCAGTCTCTTGGCTACTTTGCAGCCCAATGGATATGGTAGTCTTACAAATATACTTCATCTGCCAACCATAGCATCCAACGAGCTTAATTGCATTTGTGCCCTCACCATGCTTAGCTGTAATAGTTAAGAGCTGTACACAAACCCAGGTGGCCCGATGGCAATGGGATGGCACCACTGGGATTCTGGTTTCTCTTCCACTTGAAGGGATCTCAAGAGGATCTCTCTGATGTCCACTTCTTGTGGGCCATTCACTAACACGAAGGGTTGTACTGCTGTGCCAGAACTCGGAATGGCTATTTTGTCTCATGACATAGCACCAATAGCACAGGTGGGATAAAGTATTTTTTTAAAGAGCCGTATACAGCCCTGCATATGCCCCCTGATAACGTCCCCCCCCCCCTTCCTTGCAGGTGAACAAAAACAACGCTAAGCTGTGGAACAACGTGGGCCACTCGCTGGAGAATCAGATGAACTACACGGGGGCACTGAACTACTTCCTTCAGGCGGCACGCGTCCAGCCCGGTGCTGCCTTTGCACGACCACACGGCATCACGGTCGCACCGCACTTGTGCCCCACCGGTGCTCGCTCGCCCGCCCGCCTGCCCGCCCCGCAAAATAGCAGTGCCGTTTCGCTCCCCGCTGCCGTTGTTTTACGTTGCTCTATGCGCTGCAGATGACGTCGGTGCGCACATGAACGTGGGCCGCACTTTCAAGAATCTGAATCGCACGCGGGAGGCCGAGGACGCCTACACACAGGCCAAGGCGCTCATGCCGCAGGTGGGGCTTCGCTGCACCGCCCCCAACCCCCCCATCGGACTCGTCTGCCCACCTTCTCTTCATTGACCCAGCGGCTTGCTAGGAACCTACCCCGACCCATCACCGCATCGTCCGTGCATTGTGCTCCCCACCCATACCCACCCAAACTCCCACCTGCTCACCCGACCACCCGTCTACTCTCACTCTCCCATTGTGATTAAGTGCACTCCTCTCTGATTGACCACACTCCCCTGCCCACTCTGTCATCTTATCACCCACTTTCTCAGCCACACTTACCCTCACCCATAAAGCCAATCTCCCACTCACCTAATCATTCGTCATCCCCTCACTCACCTACGCAGCCATAGTATTCTCCCACTCTCCCACCCACTCTTCTGACAGCTCACTTGGCTACTCCCCTGCTCTGAAGTTCACGCCACTAATCTCACATCACCCTTTCATGTTTTATACCCTCTCACCCACCTTATTACTCACTTATTCACCCACTCTTCCACTCTCCTTTATACTTTACCACTCTCCCATTCACCCACTGTCTCACCTATTTACCTGCTCCCCAAACAGCTATCCCACTCTCCCACACATACCCTCTCATCTCAACACATCTGCCTGCCCTCCCAGTCAAACAAATCCACGACCCTGCACAGTTTGATGAATAATGTTGTTTCCCAGGCATCTCCGCAACTGAACCATCTAGTTTCCACCGGACTTTCCCCGTGTCCTCCCCCCCCACCAGGTGGTGCCAGGCAGGAAGTATTCGGCGCGAGTGGCTCCGAATCACCTGAACGTGTACCTGCACCTGGCGAGCATCATCCGTACCAACGAGTCCCGCCTGCAGGAGGCCGACTCGCTGTACCGCCAGGCCATCGCCATGCGGCCTGACTTCACGCAGGCCTACATCAGCCGGTGTGACACCCCTTTGTGCGGTCGCTTGCTGTGCTGTCAGCGGTCGGCGTGCCGAATTGTCCCTTAAAACACTTTGTCCTTTCTTTGTTGGTTCGTAGCTGGGCTTGAGCTCACTGATGAGCCGTTATGGGAGTAAAACACATCTGTGCTGACACTGCCAAAGTTCCTTTGTTGAATGGTTTTCTGCTGAAAGGCTGAGCTATCATCATGCAAAGTCTTTCATTTTGCATATTTAATACCTTTTTGTCATATTCTTCAAAAGCCAAAGTGGCGGCTGTGCTCCACTGGTGGAAATTCCACATTCTCATGGTGAGAGCCAGCCTGTCTATGCAACAACTACTGTCTTGATTTTATACAAAGTGGTACTCATATTTTTGGTAAGTCAGTCTTCGAATGAAATTTGAAATGGAAACCTTACCTACACTTTAAGCATAGCGCCACTCGGCCAGATTGATAATGTTTAGTTCTAATTCCATACCAACAATGCAGTTTTGCGAGACCTACATTTTCACTCGGCATTCTCAACATCACTGTCTGTTAAGGTCTTGTGTTAACACCAAGACAAAATTGAAACGAATTTTTTTTATTTCAGACAATTATCGCTGCCTGTGACCTTGTGGCCCCCGCACTTACCCATAACCCCGTGACCTCATGACCCCTCTGCGGTTAGTGGGGAGCTGCTGCTGAAGATGCAGCGGCTGCCGGAGGCGCGCGCGGCGTACGAGAAGGCCGTGGCGCTGGACGGGGACAACGCCGACCTCTGGTACAACCTGGCCATTGTGCACATCGAGCTGCGGCAGCCGCGCGACGCCCTCGCCCACTTTGAGCGTGCGCTCGCCCTCAAGCCAGCGCACCGCCTCGCGCTCTTCAACTCCGCCCTGCTCATCCAGGAGACTGGTGCGTGCGTGCGCACGTGTGCGTGTACTTGGTAGTAGGTCGACTCGGCCTCAAATGATTACCGGGTGTGGTGTGTAGACATCGCCACTTAGGGAGACAAAGGCGGCCGGGCGTGGTGCTGTGACCACTCACCCCCTCGGGCGCCATGGTGGTGAGATGTTAACTACCTCGCCAGGTATACAGGATGGTCATAGTAAAAGCATTTTTTTTTTGTTTAGTGTGTTGTGCTGTGCGGACCTTCATAGGTGCTTGTGAACAGCACTTGCCCCAACAGTCTGTTAAAGGCTACACAGGGCTCCTTAGTCGTTGTGTGCTTTGGAATGATACAGAGAAGATTAGCATGGCCCCTGTGCAAGGGTGACACAAATTCATAAAGCATTGCATATTGTTTAAAGCCTTTCGGCTTCGATTTCCAGCTATGGCCAAAATCTGAACCAGCCTTGGGCCTTCTAGGAGTACCTGTTTCAGTGTGCAAACATCAGAACTCATCCACCAACTTTGATGTAAGACAAAAACAATGTTTGGCGGCCGCCGGCTCACGTGCCTGGAGCAGCCAGTCACTGAGCGTCCCGAACCGCTGAGTCACTGCCGTCATTCAAAAAACTAACTCAAAACCTCGTCAAGAGCCACAAGTGACACTACACATCTCAATCTCATTGGATGGGACGAATGGTGGCTGTTTAACATCTGTTTTTTGCAAACGGCTTGCTGAATTTGCGGCGCCTTAGAATCCGCCATTATTTTTGCCCACGCAATTGCGCTATTAGAGTCGCCTACTCACTTGCCTGCCCGCTCCCCCCCCCCCTCCATCTCCGCAGGTGCCAGCGAGCTGCTGGAGGAGGCTCACGGGCGGCTCCTGCGCTACGCCGAACTGGAGCCGTCCGACGAGAAGGCCTACTTCAACCTTGGCATGGTGGCCACCGACATGGGGCGCGCAGACGAGGCGGAGCGCTGGCTCCGGCGCGCCGTCGCCCTGCGGCCCGACTTCCGCGGCGCGCTCTTCAACCTCGCGCTGCTGCTGGTGCAGTCGCGGCACGAGCTGGACGCGCTGCCTGTGCTCGAGCAGCTGCTGGAGCACCACCCGCAGCACGCCAAGGCGCTGGTGCTGCAGGGCGACGTGCTGCTGAACCGGCGGGGCGACGCGGCCGGCGCCAGGCGCGCCTTCCAGCGGGCGCTGGCCGCCGAGCCAGGCAACTCGCAGGCCAAGCACAACCTGTGCGTGGTGATGTTCGAGGAGGGCGAGCTAGCACGTGCACACGACTGCCTGCGCGAGGCGCTGGCCATGGCGCCTGGCGAGGAGTACATCCGGCGTCACCTCGCCGTCGTGGCTGCAAAGCTCGCCGAGCACGAGCGGCAGCAGCAGCAGCAGCAGCACCAACAGCAGAATCAGCAGCAGAACCAGCAAGAGCAACAGCAGCATCAGCAGCAGGAGGAGGTGCGCATTCAGCAGCAACAACAGAATCGACAAAAACTGCCGAACCAGCGAGAGCAGGAGCAGGATGATTACGTAGAGCAGCATAGGGAGAGTCATCAGCAGCAGCAGCAGAGTAGTGATGACGTCGGAGAGGAACCGTCGGTGATGAGGCGTCACCGACGAGATAGTGATAGCCTGAGCCCACAGGCAGAGAATGATGGGAGGAAGCTCAAGGAGGATGTGGATGGGACGAGCGAGGCCCCTGCTGGGCGGGCCCAGGACATTGAGCGGAAGCGCAGAGAAGCGCTGAAGCGGCTGGAGGAGATAGAGCGAGCGTTAGATGGGATCTAGGGGATAGTCCGGGACGGGAGTTCTCAACCCATGGGCCTGCTGAGAATCTGGAGGATGCAAGCACCATTAGTGAGGATTCAGACAAGGCTGCATAACTTTGCACACAGGTGGCTTCTTAGTTGTTACGAAACCAAGACAAAGTTGACTGTACAGGCGAACCCCGCACCTACGACCTAATTGGTTCATGTACGACGGTCGCAAGCCAAGCCGTCGTAAGTCGAACCCTTATTTCCCGTAGGCGCAATATTACACATTGGAGTTCCATTCTTGGAAACCCATTACATAACCATGTAATACTAACATTTACCACGAAATTTATGAAAACAACCCTAACAAACATTATTTTAGCTTAACATAACCTTTACAAACATTTATTAAGTAAAAACAGACACTTACGTTTGATAATCCTCAAGTACTTTTCTGCATCTTCTTTTAAGACTGTAGCGAAAGGTGAACAAATATATATACATAAATTTGAAGAAAATTTACGAAGAAGTGAGGAGCGTTGTGAAAGAGATGCTGCGTTTGCTCTCGCTGCAGCTGCAGACTGTCAGGCTAGACTGTACATAGGCATTCAGCAGAAGAACAAAGCAGCGCTACCTGGCGACGATTGTGCCCATAACACGCGCAGAATTGTTGCCAACCGACTCGGTGTCGGTAGCAGCTGTTCGGTGGTCGTAGAGACGAGTTTTGATCGTTACTGTGGGGGTCTTAATTACTACAACAAAGGTCGTCAAAGCGGAGGGTCACAGGTCGAGCCGGCATAAGTCGGGGGGTCACACGTAATTAAGAACAAGGCTCTGTTGTCAACCTATGTCGCGTTGTCTGCATTATTTTATTAGGCAATTACTATGCATTATTGACAGGCTTGTCATTAATGACTGTGGGGTCATTATCTGGCGTCGTGTAGGGCTGTGGATGCCACAGTAACTACGATCACAGGAAGCTGCATCACAGGAAGTTGTCACATCACTCCGATGGTGGGAAATTACCCTGTACAAAATTTATACTTGTGGGCTATGCTTAGGAGGTTCACAGAATTTATATAATCATTGGCCAATATTTATCGAGCAGATGGGCAACTGAGTTTCAAGGCTTTTTTTTTAAGGAGAGTCGCTTCGGATGTTGGACAATCCCTCATGAGTATTATTGTGTGCGCCAGATGGAACTGAAGTATCTGGAGAAGATGCATGCAGAAGAGGAGAACATACTAAAATAAATCCATCGTGGGCGTAAGTCGGGAATCTACTTTCTGTGCTGCCTCCTTCGGTCAACCATGATGTCACCTGCAGATTGGACACCTCAAGTTCACCGCGATCTATGCACAGTCCGCCGCCAATCCCACCTTCGTTATCTTTACCACGCAACAAAGTGCTCAGGGGTCTGCACGGCATCTTTGAGTCGGCGCCTCTTCACGCCTCCCTTTCCTGCAACCCTAAATGGTTACGTAACACTAATCTACACAACACTAATTGCTTCCGGTGCTGTTGCAAAATGAACATCTGCCCTGTAAGCACTGCTGTCACAGTCTCATCATTGCCATCTGTCTGGCTTCAGTCTTCCCATTGATCACCAACATCCAGTGCCTGTATTGGTAATCTCCCCTTTATCCGTCACGTACGTGCACCCTACCAATCACAACCTCTTTTACCTTTCATAAAGTCCTGGCCTGATTCATTTCGCGAAGAACCCGTCTCATTGGGTGGACTGTTTGCTTTTTAACAAAGAAGACCCCGTTTCACTGGACGGCAGGCCCCTTGAAACCTGCAGATGATTCGCCTGCAATCCAGCTGTGAGATGCTAGTATCTCCTGCGGGAGCGCTCTCTTCAATATCACTGCTACGCTTAACCAAAGGCATCCGTCTGCTGTGAAGTGGGGATGGTCAATGACTCTGAAATTATCGCTTGCGAGAGAAGGCCACTGCGCCTCTCTCATAGCACGATTGTTGGAATTGAATCATTAACCCGTGGATTAGTTGGCCAAGTTTAATGACGACCAGTTAGTAACTGTAGATGTTTTTTTTTCCAGTCCTCAAAGGAAAATAGAGGAAGAGAGAAGTGAATTTGATGAGTTTTGTTTACACTCGGGAGCGTATTTTGAAGGACACGAAGGTAGTGAGAGTTATGAAAGTTGTTTAAATAGCGCAGTACTTTTTCAGAACAAGACGAATAGAAGGGAAGTTACATTGAGAGTGATCAGTAGTTGATGGCTTTATTTGTCAGGGCTTGAGTAGAGCTCTACTTTAGGTTGTGCGAGCATGACCCCGTGAGAGTCCACTCAGTTTGGTTTACATCAGATGGGATATGTTGTGGTTAAATGCAACCGGTGGTCTCTAGCCACCTGTTTGAAAGTAGCACCCAGTTAATGTATTAATAAAAGCATATTTTTCGTCCAATTAAGAGCAGTTTGAGTGCCTAACAGGCAGATATGAGTATTTTTAAATGCCTGTTGGAAATCACGGTGTGAATTTATGGCAGGTAATGCATATAATGAATTGTGCAGTGAGCAACAATGTAGTTTCACAAGTGTTTTTATTGTTGTTGTAAAGCTGCCCGCACGTTCAGGCAATGTTCTATTTGACAATACGCGGTGTATACCAGGAGAAACAATGTTTTGTTTGTCCCAGTTTTCGTTTTGTTTTAGAGCTGCCCCCGACCTTACATTGTGAGTTCACCGCTTAAGGTGACTGCCGCGCTTCGCTGCCACGGTGAATAACTTTAGGGCAAAGCTCAAGAGCAAAGCTGTTCCACATCATGCGTTCGAGCAATCAAGTAAACCGACGCCACGCTCAAACAAGTATTACGTTGAGAGCGTTGGGATTTACACGCGGTATCATAGTAGAAGTCTGGTCTCTATCTCTCCATGCGACAACTATTGTTGACTTTTCCACAAAGTAGGTACTTGATTTATTAACCCCAGGGAGACGATGCGTCTGAATTGACTCCCTATCTGGATTTGAACTCGTAACCTTTCTGACTCCCGAGTCGAGATCTCTAAAGCACAGCGTCAGCCAGATAGACGATAACGTTCATACACGCTTAGTTATCTATGCACAGTGTAAATTGGACAAGGACAACACACACACACACATTCGAAGCCTTTTTGTAGTTTTGGGCATTTTTCAGGGTCGCGCTCACGGTTTGTGATGGTGTGATTGTGCATCAGAGGAAAATGTCAGTGAAGTTATTTTCTCCGGTGCAGCGTCTCGTGACGGAAGTGATTGGATCGATGTTGACGTTGCCCGGCATTTACACCTCCTGACCACCTCGGTGTGTTGACAAGCATCATGAAAGATAAACCGTGCAAAACTTTTTAGCACAGTTTCACCATTAACTGTATTTTGCAAAAAGTAAGATAAAGCTAGCCTGAAGCTGCGGTTTCAACTCTATCACTTTCGTCGAAAACAAAGTTAGCACCACGTCCGTGGGTGGTGTACGTTTTATTAAGTGATTACCGAGAAAAGTACCTTGTCTGCAAACGGTGGATGACTATCATGTTTCGTACGGATGTGGGTAATGGTTGATAAGAATAATTGCAAGCCGAATTTTAACCCGAAAGTTAAACGCACAGATGATGCTTATCCCCAGTGTCACTCTGATAGCTCATGTAAATACCAGGGCAACCTTATACCGTAATCCATATCCCTTAACACAACACCTTAAACCACCCCTCCCCTCCCACTTTTGACAATCTTCGTCGAATATAAAACCCAGCTCTCAAAGCCAAACTTTGAAGCCCACACCCTGAAAACGCTGCATTAGGTTAGCTCTGACGGTATTATCAGAGATCAACAAACCTGCCCCCAGTAAAGTTGCAAGTGCCTTAAGTGTTGTAAACAAGCACCAGGATGTTAGACTCTGTAAGTGTGGATTCGTGTGTGTGTGTCCCGTGGGGAGCGGTGGTACAGCGGTTAGCGCACTACACTCCGAACCCGGCTTCCCGAGTTCGATTCCTCCTCACGGCCAACACCAGTAACGATTATCTAAACTGGTCCCAGGCCTCCCCTAGGTCGACTCAGCCTCAAATGAGTACCTGGTGCGGTGTGTAAACATCACCACTAGGGAGACAAAGGCGGCCGGGCGTGGTGCTGGCCACCCACTCCCTCGTGTGCCGTGCCAGCCTTCATAGGTGCTCTCTAACTGCACTTGCCCCAACATTCTGTTAAGGCTATATGGGGGATTTTTGTCTTTGTTTGTTCCTGTGTTGGCTTTGCGCGTACTTATATACTGGGGCGTGGAGGTGTCGTGGGGTTTGTACAGTGGCAAAGCGATTTATGTAATGCGCTACGATTCCGTTGACATTTTTTATTCGTTTCATGCCCATGCACGTTCGTGGCACATTACTAGCATGTGTGCGCCGGGCCTTTTCTCGGTCACTTGATCTTAAAAAAAAGTACTCGGTGCGGTAGAGACACAGGCAGGTGGGGTCCTGGCCTCACCACTCATGTGCCCTGCTGCCATCAATTGGCGTCTGCTGACATCACTTGACACTGCAGTGTAATTCCTTCCAACGTTGTTTTCAATACTCCATGGTACTGCGCTACGATCCCAGCAGCCAGTTTTAAAATTCCTGGCTACGATGGCACACGATGACTTTACCTAACCGGCACCTCACGCAGGTTGGCTCAGCCTAGAATAACTACGGTGCCGAGTGACATTGTATTCAATATCTGTATGGTAAAGCTGTCGCCGGTCTCATCACTCTCATTGCTTACACGTGGCAGAAAGCAGCCCACACGCACCAAATAACGAACGTTACTTCAAACAAATTAGTTGGTGAGCCTGGGTTCGATTTCAGACTCGGGAGTCGTTCTGCGTGGAGTTTATAGGTTCTGTCCTGCTCTGCATCAGTTTCCTCCGGGTTCTACAATTACCTCCCATC